CTCCTGGAGAGGAATGCTGGAGTGATAGGAGGGTCTGTCCATCAGGTAGCATGTAAGAAATACATCTCATGATGTATTGGTTTGATTTCTTCCCCAGGTTTCAGCAGAAGAGAACTTTGCAAGCAACCATTAGTTTTTGCTATATCTGCAAAGTATGTAATGAACTTGCTTTCTTTGCTCAAGTAGCCTTTGAACATGTGATGGTTTTAATTCTATCTAAGTTGAACATCTTAAATAAGTGCAAGATAAGGTAGTTTAAAATATCTTAATAACATGTAGCCTGGTTTTGGTGAGGTAGGTTTTCATTGCAACCTTACACTTCACGTTGATTACCAATATTTTAAATTAAATATTCAGATTTTCATAATAAATCCAAGATGGATAGATACATATCCAATAAAGAAGTATAGTAAAATGTAAATGGTAGAAGCTAGGTGATAGGTACATAGTGTTACATACAGTGTTACTGTAATGTTTTTTTAAATCTTTCTACATGTTTAAAAATGTTCATAAATAGGAAAAATAATAATTCTAAAACAACATAACGCACATCATAGACCAGGATCTCTGGGGAAGGATCAGGGAGGGGGTAAAAGCTTGGATAAGGCAGTTTCCTTCAGTGGGAGGCCAACTCATGGGGAAGGACTCAGTGATGAACCTCATCAGTCCGTTCTCCTGGCTTCAGGAAGAATGAATGCCTCAGTGATGTACCACAGTGTCCATTGCATCTTATTCATATCATTAATGACATTAAAATGACTGTGAATGAAGGTTTCCTACATAATCACATATCCGTTGATCATACATGAGTTCATATTCAGCTGAAGCCACAGTAACACCATATCTGGCTAGTACCCATTCCAGAATCCAAACTTTGGTACAACCTATGCACAACAGCATTTGAAAAGATCAGTGATTTTTTTCCCAAAAAATCAACCTATAAATTAAAAACAAACAAACAAAAACCCCCAACTTAGTACCAGTTAACAGGAATGTATTTTAACTGACTTGGGAACAGCTAATAGAAACTGCTGTCTATGTTCACTATGAAAATCCCCATGTTATTTTTCCCTTTATGATTGAGTCATCACGTTACACCAAAGTCCAATTAAATGTAGACATATCAGGGTTGATCATACAAACTTACCAACTAAAGTATACCATTAAATATATTTATTTAGTGTGAGAGTTGCCATTTATGACCACTCTGATGGTCATAGAACATGAACAGTGGTGAGAAATATGCTATCATTGGTAGCTACAGTATTGTGTGTGAGATTAGGGGTCATAACTCAGACCTCATCATTTTGACAATTATGCTTTGACTATAGTGGCCACAAAGATGAGCCAGTCTGTCTTTCCCTTTGTTCATTCATTTGTTCCTTCCTTTCTCTCTCTATCCCTCTCTTTCCTTCCTCCCTCCCTTCCTTTTTCACCCCTCCCTCTCTTTCTATTGTGGTAAAAAACACATGACTTGAGCTCTACGCTCTTACCAAAAATTTAAAGTGTACATCACCGTATTGTTAATTATAATAACAATGTTGCAAAACAGATCTCTAGAACTTTTTCATCTTCCATAACTGAAACTTTATACACATTGAATAGCAACCCCCCATTTCTCCTCCATCTCAGCTCTTGGCAACACCATTCTACCTTCTGCTTCAATGAATTTGACCCCTTTAGACACCTCATATAAGTACAATCACAGAGTACTTGTCCCGCTATAACTGGCTTATTTCACTTAACAAAACATCCTCAAGATTCATTCATCTTATAGCATATGACAGGATTTCCCTACTTTATGGCTGAACAATATCCCATTGTATGTATACACCACATGTTGTTTATCCATTCATTTATAGCTGGACACTTAGGTTACTTCCACAACTTGGCTATTGTGAACAACACTGCAATAAACATGGCAGTGCAGATCCCAATATTTTTTCTTCAGTTTTTCTGTATAAATAACAAGAAGTGGAATTGTTGGATCACGTGGTGGTTCTGTTTTTAATATTTTGAGCAACTTCTATAATGTTTTCCATGGCAGCTGTACCATTTTACATTCCCACCAACACTGCACAAGAGTTCTGATTTCTCCACAAGGGATGATTTCTTACAACAGTTTTGTTTTGTTGTGTTGACTTCAAATCGGTTCAGTGAATCCAGATATTTATTGGGTAGCATCATTGCTAAGAGCCTGACCATCTATCCTGGTGTATGGCTGCCCTAAAAATCTCCAGGTAAAGAAAATGATGGCTTTCCTTTGCTCTGTACCAGAGTATATTATAAGGAGCCATGGAGTTGTTATCACTAGTCAAAGAATCACTGATAAAAAAGTTCAAAATGTTGTAGTAATCTGTGTATGGATTTTTTTCCTGTATTATGGAAAGGCAAAAGAGGAACCATAACTTTAGATGTATTGTCTCAAAGTGAAAAGACATATGTGATGGGTAAGTCTGTTAAAATTGTTGCTAATAGCAGAAAAGGGTATGCAGTGTTCCTGCTGAGACTGTCAACAGGGACTTCCATCAAAATTAAGAGATATTTTTTGAGCACAAAACAGCTGTAAGCTCCATTTAAATCACTGTGGAATGGTGTGACTGAGATGTCAGTGAATTCTGAAAGAGCACATGTTATTTCTTCCTTTTGTGATTGAGTCACTGCCTAACAGAACAGTCCAATTAAACAAGCTGATGTTCTGGGTGTTACTTTAGTCTGAGAATCACATTTGGGAAATAAGTACAGGGTCATCGCTAATGAACATCACCTACCATATTGTGTGCTGTGTAAGATCCTTCTATCAGTGTTACTGACATTTTGCGCCTGGGATACCACAGTACTGGTGACAGTTTGGAAACAGGGTGGCTAGAACTCAAGAGACTAAGTCAGTAGGCACACTGATAATTGCCAACTGAAATGTAGTCCTGGCTTGTTGATACAAAAAGATTGCCCCAGGCATAGTGGAATTACCTTGGACCTTCTACCATCCTTGAAAGAAAAATGCTACTACAAGCATATAGCATCTCTTTCAATGTATAAATTATTCTTAATCTGAAAATGGAGTAAAGGAAAAACTCTGAAATGATGTTATTTCTGAAGCATGAGGGTGAGAATTTCTGAACAGTGGCTGTAATTTGGGACTGCAGTAAAAGATAATGAGAAGGGACAAGCAGGTGCTGAGCATAGCTGCTTAGGATGAATGCTCAGATTGAAGCCAGCTTTCAGTGGGGGAAATCTGAAGAACTGACAATGACCAAAAAAGGTCTGAAGAAGGAAAAATTAAAGAGTAATCATGTGAGGAAATGTTTTTAGCAGCCTCATTATATTCAGAAAAGGAGGTGGAAGGTCCATGGGTAACACAGAGCTACCATTACACATGTGAGCAGTGATTATAGGGTTCAGGTTTGTTTAAGATACCTCAGGGATGAGGGAGAAAGGGTAGATATTCTGTAATGGAATCTGCTGTATTGCTCATTTCCGTGTTGGCCTGATAAATGTTGGGTCCATTGAAAGAGTAATTTTCTTCTTTACTATTGGGAAAATATAATTAAAAACAAGATCTCCCAACCTTTAAAACCTTTCCACAAAGGCAGCCAAGAAAACAGTTTTATGATTGAATAAACATGAGAATATGATGCACATCACAGGCAACAACTCACTGAGATATTACAAAGACAGAAATCTCTCCCTTTTATAGAGTTAAGCAGATAGGACCCATTACATTCTCAAGATAAATGACACCTAATGCTCAGGTAAGAGGACATGAACAGCACCATTTGTCACACAGTTAATTCTAGATTCATCTCATAATTGGGGTGACCATCTTATGGTAACAAATTGACTTTATCCAGAAGAAAAATAAACTTCTCATGTCTTTATGGTAGGAGTTAGTTTTGCAACTCGAAGCAAGGGCACTGAAATTACACTCCTACCCTCCCACAGAAACTGGGAGATGGGAGTATTATCTCCTTTGATGTTTATATTTCAAAGAGACTGTTCTCAGATCCTTGAGTAACACAGCCTTGTGTCCTAAAGCAGTCAAAAGTCCTATTTTTCAAAGAGACTTACACAATTTAAGAGAGGGGGAAGTAAATACAATTACAAGTTATCTAAAGTAAATGCTCTAAGAAGTGAAGATAAGTCTGTTACATTATTTTTAATAGGGAGAATTAGCCTGTTATCTTCAATTTGTACTTCTCCTTACATTATTCATGAGTAACATTTCTGGCAAACTCCATCCTCTGGCACAATAGCTCTTGATATTTCTGAGCATTATGAGTCATTCTTAACATTAAGAAAAAATTATGCACCATTTCTCCGTGATAGTAGTTGTATATTTAGTACCCATTTATTGAGAAAATATATACTAATCAAACACTACTATGAATTCAGATACTCTTTTAGATCAGTTTGCATTTCATTACTCTAGACATCTATATCTATTTAAAACTCATAGTATTGGGGCTTTTGGGGGTTGGTTGATTAAGCATCCAACTATGGTGCAGGTCATGATCTCGCAGTTTGTGGGGTTGAACCCCGCGTCAGGCTCTGTGCTGAAAGCTTGGAACCTCGAGCCTACTTTGGATTCTGTGTCTCCCTCTCTCTCTCCCCCTCCCCCACTTGTGCTCTGTGTCTCTCAAAAATAAATAAACATTTAAAAAAATTTTTTAAACTAGTAGCATCTATATATGCAAAGCATAATGGTCTTTAGTTAAGCTATATTCCTTTAACACTTCCCACTCCATCGTTGGCTCAAAATATGGAAAACATTAGTTTTAACTAAAATAGTTTCTGATTAGCTAAAATTGTTGCTGAAAAAGCACCTGGGTGCTGAAATTATTGTGTACCAACATCAAATTGCATTTCAAAATCAATTACTCAATTAACCAGGAACGAGCCTCAGGACACCATTTAGCTCTTCCTGATTCTATTTTATACAGAATCTGGCAGATCTGATCATCTGAAGTCTCAGACCACTACTGCATGGAGTCCTTCAAGGTTTACTTAGAGAGGTCTGAGTGAGAAAGCAAGAGGCAGGAGGTGTAGCTGGGTCAAGGCGCTGTCAGGTTGTATCTGCTCTGTGCTGGTTGCCCCAGAATGGCTGGAATGAAAGCAGGGCAGCCAGAAAGATGTGAGGGAAGGTATAAGAGTCTCTTGATTCTGTTCATAGTTAGCACCACGAGGTTACACTTGAGTTCAGTCCATCACAAAGCTTTTAGGGTGGTATCTGACAACAATTCCTGAAAAAGACACAATAGCAGGCAGTTAATGAAACAAATTGTTACATCCTGAAACCTTGCTCTTTTATGTGATGAGTGAGTGATCTCATTCCAGCATCCCATACAGAAGATATGCTTTTTTTTTTTTTTTCCACATGAGATGGTTTATTTGGAAAATGATCCCAGGGAGATCGACTAAGGGACTGGAGATAGTACAATAGAGAAAGAAAAAAGGCCACGTGTATAAATAGGTTACTGATACTGGTTCTTGGAGTTTGGTCCTGCCACAAAGTTCTAGGGAACTGCTGGAAAGAGCCTCAGAATTTCCCACCTGGATGAAGGAGGAAACATTTATCTACCAGTTCTCATCCTTTTTTGTTTTTGCGTTGTCCCATGGAGTGTTAGCTTCTTTATACATCCAGATCCATTCTTATCAGTCCCTCACTGAAACCTCAGGGAAACCCAGAGCAATACAGCTGGGCATGAGAGAGGTGCTGATAACCATCAGGTCACAGTACACAAAGCTAGTTGCAGAAGCAAAGGTTGGAATATAAATTGGGCTGAGAGGAGGTGAGGTAAGGTATAGGAGGTATCCAATACAGGAACTCACATCCTGGCCTCCTTCAAAGCTGCTATAGTGATAAAAGTAGGCCTTCTCCTGGATGCCCATAGTGCCACTGGGGAAAGATCTTTGGAGCAGCCTAATTTTTTCAAACTTCCTTTATTTTCTTAAGACAATTGGGGTATAAGAGTAAACAATAGACATTTTACTGGTAAAACTTAATATGTACCAAACCCTTGATTCTTCCCTGTGACCACTCCAAAATCATCTTTTTCATGGTATATTCCTTCTCAACAAATGGCACCAGTTTTGACTCCGTTTCACGCATCGCACCTTGGAGCCACACTTGACATCTTTTCAACACCCCAGCAATCTGCACCTTTGCAATGAATTACAAGCCCTTCACTTCACACCACCTATACCACCAACACACTATTCACGGGCAGCATCCCTTCTCATGTGCATTGTCTCAGTGGCCTCCTGCCAGTTCTTCATGGTTCCACTATTGCACTCTGCAGTCTGTTCTCTGCACAGTAGTCAAAGTTGCTAGTTACTTTTTAAAATGGTAAGCCATATTATCTCCTGTCTTAACTCTTACATAGTTCCATCAGGTTTCACACAAAAACCCGGGGTACCTGAGTGGCTCAGTTGGTTAAGCGTCTGATTCTTGGTTTCGGCTCAGGTCATGACCTCACAGTTTGTGAGTTCGAGCCCCGCATTAGGCTCTGGGCTGACAATGTGGAGTCTGCTTGGGATTCTCTCTTTCTCCCTCTCTCTCTGTCTCTCCCATGCTTGTGCTCTCTCTCTCAAAACAAATAAAAATAAAAAAAACCCAAACCCCTGTTATGACCTTGTTGTTACGTGATCTGGATACACACACACATACATACGTACATATATAGGATATTGGACATATATATTACAAATGGATCTATCTGTATATATTATTATCTGTATATATTATAACTATATATATTATATGGTATAAATATATACATTATATATATTATCAATATACATGTTATGATACATATAAATGATAAGTCTGTGACTTCACTTCCTACCACTCTAGCTCTTACCCTCTGGCCTCTAGTTTTACTTCCCTGAGATTTTCAAACTTGCCAAGCATATTTCCATCCAGGCCTTTGCGTCTGCAATTTCTTCTTTTTGGAGTGGTTTATTCTCTACATTCATACTTCAGTTCATATCCCAAAGAAACTCCAGAATGCCTTGTTAAAATAGTCCCCTATCATACTATATTCTCTTATACAATTATATTTTTCTTCATATAACTTCTAAATAATACATATTATGTATATAATGTGTGTGTGTGTGTGTGTGTGTGTGTGTGTGTGTGTGTAAATTTGCCTGTTTATTGTTTCACTCAATAGAATATTTGCTATATAAGAGTGTGGACTATGTTGAATTTACCATTCTTTTCCTAATTTCTAGAGCCGTTTTGGGCACATATGGATTCAATTAATCTTGCTAAATAGATAAATTAATTAAACCAGATCAAATGGCATTTGTCTTATCAGATAGATTTCCCTTTAACTTTATGTGACTAGTTAATAATGGAAAAAGAAAAAACAACAATGCAGCATCTCTGTAGTATTTGTCAGTCTTAACTAATTTCTGTACAACCATAGCCATAATCATATTTAATTTATGTTCACTTCATTGTCTAATGAGGGTCTTCTGGAAGTCCATTAATTTAGGGGTCAAGTCTGATAAATACTCCATTCTCTTTAATGTCCTGAGGTCATCTAGCCAGCACATGGGAGACAGAATTTGAATTGTAGAGGACATTTTAGGAGCTGCTATTGGAAATGGCACACATCATTTCCACCAACACCCCATTGCTCCGAATTTAATCCTTTGGCCCTACCTAACTGTAGGGGAGGCTGGAAAATAGAATTTAGCTGTGTGCTAGGGCGAAATGTAACTCTGTCACAATAGACATACGGATGATCGTCTTTAATCCTTAAAAATCCCTGAGAGATAAGTACTCTATCCCCATTTAGAGATTTAAAAACTGACCCTCAGAGAGGTAGAGCTACAACCAAGATCATAAAGCTAATGATTATGTGGCACTCCAGATGTCCTGTGATTTTCCCTGTCATTTGGGGTACTGGAAATTTCAGAACACCAGTCATTTTGATGAGTCTGACCCTGCCCATGATTTTATCTGTGCTTTCACATCAATTAAGAGTAAATATTAGCCTTAAACTTGAATTTTTTTTAGTGGGTTTGCCAACAGACTGTGACTTTTCAGTCCCATTCACTCTATCTTCTTTGATTTTACTAATCACAGTATTTCAATAGTAAAGAATTTTATAACAAAACTCTTTATACTACTTTTCCATTGATTTGGATACATATTGAAAGTCTTAGTTGGTGGTCTGAAATACATTAGCCTTATTGATTAATGTTTCTGATTTGTCTCATTTTAGTCACTCCCACTTTAATAGAGTCATGAATTATACTTGATTACCTCCAGTTACCAAACACTGATTCTTGGGGGGAAGAATTATATGCCTATCAATTGCGGTAATTAAGTGGATCATCAATGAAATAAGATTCAACTTGAATTAGTGAAAGTTAAAGAATTCATAGCAAACACCTGCAGGGAGGTTTGGTTTATATGGTACCTCTGTCACTCAGTTGCTGGTCCTCTGTGTTATAGGTTGAGAAATTATTAAAAAGGCCTTCAAAATCTCATTCATAAAATAAATTTATGAGACAACAATGACTAACATAGAATCCTAATTCTTCATTTATAGTAAAATATGTAATGATTAATGACTAAAGCATGCATTTCCTTTGTCTAGGGTACCCCTTCCTGCTGAGTAAACAAAATTATAGGCCTTAATGATTTCATAGCAAATAAAAAATTATGAAATTTGGTAGTTTTAAAGGAAAAAAATGTCCAGGAATTAAGACTTGACAAAATACTTCTATATCATAAAATTAAAACACAAAGCAAAACAGTAACAACAATAAATCTTCCCTAGGGAATGTGAAGCTCTTGTACACTGGATATATTTTCATATGTTGAAGATAGTGAGATAAATACATGGCCAAACTCATGTTATCTCTTTCAACATTTTCTACAATTCACATATCCCCATGCAGATCAGATTTTGGTAAGACTCTTCTGCAATCAAAATAATTTTCAGGGGAGGAGTATTTTTAATGGAAAGGGCATAGAATTTAAAATTAGGCAAATGTGGGATTAAACCCATTTAACAGCCATTTATCTGATAATTTTTAAAAAATTTTTTTAAAGTTTATTTTTGAGAGAAAGAGATAGAGCATGAACAGGAGAGGGTCAGAAAGAGAGGAGACACAGAATTGGAAACAGGCTCCAGGCTCTGAGCTGTCAGCCCAGAGCCTGACACAGGGCTCGAACTCACAAGCAGTGAGATCATGGCCTGAGCTGAAGTCAGATGCTCAACTGACTGAGCCACCCAGGCACCCCTATCGGATATTTTTTTTTAAATTTTATTTTACTATAATAAAAACACAACATGAATCTAACCTCTTTACAAATTTTTCAGTATACATTATTGTTGACTATAAGTATACTGTTGTAAAGTAGATCTCTAGATCTTGTTCATCTTGCTTAACTGAAAGTAGTGCTCATTGATTAGAACTACTAATTTCTCCTCCGCTTCCCTCCCAGCCCCTCACAGCCACCATTCTACTCGTGATTCTATGAATTTGACTATTTTAGATACTTGGTATTAAGTGATATTGTGCAGTATTTGTCTTTCTGTGACTTATATCACTTAGCATAATGTCCTTAAGGTTCATCCATATTGTCAGATATTGCAGAATTTCCTTCTTTTTTAAAGCCTGAGTAGTATAGTATGCCATTGTACGTATATACCACAATTTTTTTTATCCATTCATCTGTTGAACGACATTTAAGTTTTCATATCTTGGCTATTATGTTGCAGCAACGAACATATGAATGCTAATATAGCTTTGAGGTCCTGATTTCAATTCTTTTGGACAAATACTCCAAAGTGGGATTGCAGGATCATCTGGTAGTTCTATTTTTAATTTTTTGAGAAACATCGCTAGTTTTTTCCATAATGCCTGAATGACTACCAACAGTGTACAATGGTTCCAATTTCTCCACATCCTCTCAAAATTGATTGTGTGTGTGTGTGTGTGTGTGTGTGTGTGTGTGTGTGTGTGTGTGTTTATAATAGTCATCCTCACAGGTGTGAAGTAATAGTTCATTGTCGTTTTGATTTGTATTTCTGTGATAATTAGTGATGTTGAGCATCCTTTCATATACATGTTGGCCATTTGTATGTCTTCTTTGAAGAAATGTCTATTAAAATCCTTTGCCCATTTTTAAATTGGGTTCCTTTTTGCTGTTGGGTTGTAGAAATTCTTTATATATTATAGATACTACTCTTTTATCAGATATGTAGTTTGAAGATATTTTCTCCCAATCTACAGGTTGCTTTTTCATTTTGTCAATTGTTTCCTTTACTGAGCAGAATATTTTTAGTTTGAGTTGGTCCAGCTCATCTACTTTTGCTCTTTTTGCCAGTGCTTTTCATGTCACATCCATGAAACCATGACTGGGACCTATGTCATGAAGCTTTTTGCTCATGTTTCTTATAGTAGTTTCATGATTTCATGTTGTACATTTTAAGTCTTTAGTTTATTTTGAATTGATTTTTATCTATGGTGTGGGTCAGAGGCCCAATTTCATTATTTTACAACTATCCAGTTTTTCCAATACCATTTTTTTTGAAGACTCTATCCTTTCTGTGCTCTAGATAACATAGTACTTCTTCAGAACCCTCAAATCTTCTGATACTTGGTCTTACTATAAACACCACATGTATTCTTTTCTTATCCTGGTTATTTCAAGGGACAGACCTACTTGAATCACACCCTGAAACTACTGAGGGATCTTACCTCTTCTGGGCTCCAGTCGAAGCTAGGCTTCTTTGTCATTCAATAAATAGGTCAGAGTACTGTTCCTCTGTTTTCAGAAGCTGCTATTTTCAAAGTCTGAAAATGTAAACCAGATATTATATGTCTCTCTTTGTGCTGGAAAATCTGAGATACAAAAAAATTCCTCCCGGGGCACCTGGGTGACTCAGTCAGTTAAGCATCTGACTCTTGATTTCTGTTCAGGTCATGATCTCATGGTTTGTTAGTTCAAGCCCAGTGCTGTGTTGTGCTCTGACAGTGTGGGGCCTACTTTGGATTCTCTCTCTCTCTCTCTCTCTCTCTCTCTCTCTCTCTCCACCTTTCCCCTTTCTCCCCCCCCCTCAAAATAAATAAATAAACATTTAAAAAATACTTACAAAAATTCCTCCTTTACCTTGGAGGAATAACACAGCATGTCACAGACTACTGGATGATTGAAAACTTCACTGATGAGGCATGACCTTGAGTCTTTGTAGGTTGTGCTATTCAACCTTTGGAGCACATTTATCTTACCTAAGCTGCCAATTTACATTTTAACCAAATTAACATAATGTCATAGATATAGTAGCTGTGGAATGTTGATATGGCTCAAGTCACTGTGGACTATACTTTGGGGAAGAACAGGAAAATTTAAGGGTAAGATAATACATGCATACTGTTGTCTATCTTATATAAGTATAAACTGTTTCTGATCCTCCTTACTGGTAAGGATGGACAAGAAGGCATTCAGCAGATCAGTGGCTACATAATACATACTGGAGCTGTGTTAATTTGCTCTAGCATAGATGCCATATCTGACACAGAAGCTGAAATGTGGGCTCCTAGTCAGCTAGTTTTCTGTATTTATTTAATTTTTGTAGGGGCCAGACTTTTGAATTGAGTTGAATATGATGAAGACCAATACCCCATCATAGTTTATGCCTTTAGTGTGGCACTACTCTCTTTGATTCATTTGATAATATGTTATTGCTCGTGATTTATTATATTTACTATCTTGGCCAGAGGTAAAGGGGCAGTTTCGGTAGCTTCCACTTGGTCTTTTCCTTATTATTTCTCTTATACCACAGTTCAAGGAACTAATATGGGGCTTCTACCAATTACCAACTATGTCTAATACAATTACACATTTAGAGAATGAGAAATAACTATTGGGTGTGACCACAACTGTGAGTTGAACCTACTCTAAGAGAACATTTATTACCTAGATAGCATCTTTACATATTCTATTAGAGAGATGAAGATGGCACCCTAGACCTCCATATATCAATGACAATATATCGATATATACCTAACTTTCAACATTTGGAGAAATTCTCTTCTACCAATAGGTGGTTAATGAAGAAAATGACCGTAGTTCCATTTAGAGAAGGATGGGGAAATTACTAGTGAACATACTTGTCGTAGTTTAATATGATGTTTCCTGGGGTGCCTGGGTGGCTCAGTTGGTTTGGCGTCTGACTTGGGCTCAGGTCATGATCTCACAGTTTGTGGGTTCTAGCTCCACATCAGGCTCTGTGCTGACAGCTCAGAGCCCGGAGCCTGCTTTGGATTCTGTGTCTCCCTCCCTGCCTTCCTTTCCCCTGCTTTCACTCTCTCTCAAAAATAAACATTAAAAAAAAATGTTTTTAAATATGTTAAAAATGTTTTAAATGTTTTTAAATATGATATTTTCTCACAGAATCCCAGAATTTTCTTTCAGCCAATGAGTTCTGGCTCTGAAAACTGACTTTAAGTCCAGAGATTGTGCATAGGATCAATTATATTTTTCCATTGATTTTTTTCACATTTTTAAATAAATTTTATCCAAAATACAGAAAAAAAACTGAAAGGATTATTCAGTTTGCTATAATTATTTATCAAATATCCAGTCATCTTATTCATCTTCCATAAATATATTAAATAATTTTTTATGCTTTTAAGGCAATTCACTTTATCAGTACACTTCATCCTTAAACATTTCAGAATTCATATCTTCATCTAGAATATAATATATATGTGAAGAATTTTTTCCCCACAGTATAATTCTTTTTTTTTTTTTTCAACGTTTATTTATTTTTGGGGGGACAGAGAGAGACAGAGCATGAACGGGGGAGGGGCAGAGAGAGAGAGGGAGACACAGAATCGGAAACAGGCTCCAGGCTCTGAGCCATCAGCCCAGAGCCCGACGCGGGGCTCGAACTCACGGACCGTGAGATCGTGACCTGGCCGAAGTCGGACGCTCAACCGACTGCGCCACCCAGGCGCCCCTCCCACAGTATAATTCTAAGCAAATCTATAGAGTAGGGAAATAAATGTCACATTATTCCTTTTCATTTTGTTTTGGTGAATGTCTCCACTGTTTGCATTGCCTGATAAAGGGCTTTAAATGTCTATATATCTGGAAAACAAGAGGAGACAAAAGAGTGTCAAAAACAAATAGCACTTCTGGCCTAAAACAAAACTCTTGCTCTAAAATAAAATAATAGGAAAAAAATAGCTATTCTTCTTACATTAACCAGTTTGACAAAGAAGATCTATTCTAATGTTAAAAATGTGTCTTTGTTTTTATTTGTATAAGATCCTGTTTTCTTTGATGTTTAACAAATTGTTTGATTCATTTCTTTTTGATTTGTCAAATATGAAGACTAGTGGATATGAAAAGGAAATAGTTGGTTTTCAAGTCAAGTCATTTATTGATCATCCAAAGTTTGGAAGAAAATAACTAAGGCAAAGTAGGACTTGATGAATTTTTGGTTTTGTCAGTAGAAGATTCTGCTCTTAAGGTGGCTTGTTAAAAGAAGTAGGAATCTATTTTCTCGTCTAAAGAATATAAACTAGCAGGGAAGTAACAACAAAAATATGAGTAGAAATAAAAAGATATTTGTGGTAGCTTGACTTGGATTTTGTTTTTTCTTCAGTTACCTCTCATAATACTGACTCTTTCTTCTCCATACACAATTGATTTGGGCCTTGGAGGATGATGTGGCATAGAGTAAGGATATGGGCCTTATAATGATAGGGACAAAGGTTTGCAAAATTTTGCTATTTTCTATTGCCTAGCTGTGTCCTTGAAGGAGTCACTCACTTTCTCTAAATTTCATTTTTCTTTTCCAAAAAATGGTGGGAAAGAATGCCTTTCTTAGAGTATACTTTTGAAAATATTATTACACAATGAATAGTCTCTATTGATATTGATTATATTATTTGGCAGCATTAATTGAGAAGTTATATTCAGACACTCCAATGTATCTCAAAAATATAAAGTTGTTAAGTTCCTAACCTAAAGATGCATATTGTGTAAAAGAAAATTAAGAAAACCAATAGCTAATATACTTAAAATAATGCTATCAGAGAAGAAGACATTGAATGGTAAAGAACTAAAAAAAGAGTGTGATAAGGAGTAATATCCAGGGGTGCCTGGGTGGCTCAGTTGGTTAAGCATCCAACTCTTGGTTTCCACTCAGGTCATGACCTCGCAGCTTCATGAATTTGAGCCCTGCATTGGGCTCTGCGCTGGCAGTGAGGAGCCCGCTTGGGAGTCTTTTTCTCTCCCAATCTCTCTGCCCCTTGCCCACTTGCACTGTTTCTCTCTCTCTCTAAAAATAAATAAATAAACAAAAATTTTTTTAAAGGAATAATATTTAATTAAGCCTTGGTATTGAGAAGATGTGAGGTAAATTGGTGAAAGATTTTATTTTTAAAGATTTTATTTTATTTTTAAGAGGAAGTAAGACTGGAGTTGCTTTTTGAATGATGACAGATAATAAGATGGGTGGACAAGAGAAAAAAAGTTGTTCTAGAAAAAGCACCCCTGATGTATAAAGACACAGAGGTAGAAAAGAACATGCCTTGTTCGGGAGCTCTGTATGATTGATACAAAATGTATGTGTAGGGACAAGATAAAGAATGAGAGAAATAGGGAAGACCTATATGATAAAGGACCTTTGTTAAGAAATTTCACCTTTAAGCTAAAGGCCATGAGATACTGCTAAGAAGTTAAAACAAGGAAATCATAAGAATTTTAGGAAAATCACTACATCTTCAAAATACAGGTGTGAGAATGAAATTGGAGAAACTGGTTATGATGTTGTTGTAGCAGTATAAGCATTCAATTTAAGGAAGTAGTGAAATGTTAATTGGGGAGAAATTTACATTATATTTAAGAGATAGAATGGACTTCTTAAATATCTTAGTATATAGGATTTTGTATCTAATTGATTATTGTAGTGATGGATCAGAATCAAAAAAAGATTCCAACTTCTGACTTGTGGGTTTGAGTGTATGGAAACCCAGAAAAGGGGTAGATTTTACGAGAAAGACAATGATTTCTTCTTTGGATATATTGAGTTTAAAATGGTTATGGGGTATTCAAGTGGAAAAACAGTAGGGAATACTCTACAGAGTTACAGCATTCACTATATGCTGATGTGCGCACTGACACATGCACAGTTCTGGAGTTTCTGAACCTGGCAAGAGCTAATTGTCAGAATGGAGATTAGCCATAGCCTTGATGTGTATTGGGACTGCTCAGGGGAATTTTATTTGCATAAAAGGAAAGAGAATGAAAGTTCAATGTCTGGATAGTACCAACATTTAAGGTTGAGAAGAGAAAGTAAAAAAAAAAAAAAGAAAGAAAAAGAACTGAATGGGGAAGGTGCCGAATTACCAATATTTACTTATTTGTTTGTTCATTCAAAGAATATATGTTGATCTCTTTCCTAACCTGGGTTGGCCCCAAGTCAGAATCTTGAGATGAAAGTATGCATTCAGTAATTTATTTAGAAGTGAGCCCAGCTAGAAGGCAGAAATGAGGAATTAGTGGAGTAAAATAAGAGAGCATTATCAAGGTGGCTCTCATTGCTGGTAACCAATGCTTAACCCTCTGGGATAATTTGAGGAAACTTATGTATATTTCTCAGGACTCTACACTCCAGGGATGAAAGGAAGACACATTTATCTATGGAATTCTGCCTTCCATTGGCCAGCGGTTACCCCACAGGTTTAAATAACTCACACTTCTGGGGTGCCTGGGTGGCTCAATCAGTTAAGCATCCGATTTCAGCTCAGGTCATGATCTCACAGCTCATGAGTTCGAGCCC